CCTAAATCTATATCTAATCTATGCCTAAACTATATCCTAAATCTATATCTAATCTATGCCTAAACTATCTATAACTATAAACCTAAACCTAACTAAATCTACCTAATTAACTGGAGCTATGGCAGGCAGCAAACAGTCACAGTTTGTTTGCTTGTCATCTGTTAACGAGCGGAGAAGGGGGGACAGAACAGTTATGTATACTCCTATATAATGTTTTAAAATTAGCATGTAGAGGAAAGGATCAGAAGCTGAAAGATGTTTATATTATATACCTTTAAAACATTATTAAGGTTATTATGGTTATTAGCATTGAGTAATATAACATAATATTGAACAATTAAATCATGAGGGATTATATACAAGTTAGAGTAAATATTCCAATGTTAACAACTTTAATTGCATATTTATGATGTTACTATAATGTGAGTATGACTAAGGTAATTAATATAATTAAAATTGATAAGAGACAAATGATAGAAATAGCATACTTACTAACAAGATTGGTGTTATCAAGATACGAAATAAAGGTAGAAATCAGAAAGGAGAGAATATTACAATAAATATTGTTATATGACATATTAAAATTAGCAGGTAGATGAAGGATAAGAAGTTAAAATATGAATGTGTTCTGTATAACGTTATTAGAAAGATGTGAGCACAACTAAAGTAAGGCTATCAAAATTTTCTATTTTATTATTATTGAGTATCAAAATTAATACCCAAAGTCACACTGTTCATGTATTTAATACTTATATACATTTAAAAATAAAACACTTAAAAAAATAAACTAACTTTTGCACTGCAATTTCAGACACTTCCCCTGGTTTTGTTTTCTCTGCTTTAATTTCCCAATTCACATATTATGCATCTTTTCTACAGTTTTTTTCCTCACATCTCTCACTTTAATTAGCAAGAAAAGTAACCCTTCCCACCAGCATCCCCTTGTCTGTTTTATTTGGAATAGTTTTCCAATAAATTTTCTTTTTGATCAACTGCCTTCTTAAAATACAGACATTTATTCTGCCTTTATTTTTTTATTTAGAATTTTTCAATTCTATCAATCATTTCTTCTCTTTATATGTATCTTGGTTCTGCTTTTATTTTTTAATTTAAACCTGTTAACATCAGTTGTCATGAGTAATGCAAGATTATGAAGTCACATGTTTATCAGTAAAAAAATACAAAACTTAAAAGATTTCAGTGCTTTCAGACTGATGGCTGAATAGATGCTGACTACTTCAAAGGAGAAAGTTTATACAATTACCCAAAGAAATGTAGGAGCACAAACACATTAGCAATACATTTTCTTTAAATTATTTGCCATTAGTACACTTCTGATTTGGAATAATATTACAACTGCTCACTTTGACCAGAAACAGAAAAATGAGTTTATTATGTACACAAGTGATTCCATGATTCTTGAAAATATACTGCATTGACTGTAAGTCTACACTAAGATGACCAGACGTCCCGATTTCAGCATGACAATCACGCTTTATAACAATTTGTCCCTTGTCCCTCTGAGTTTTAAAAAAGTCCCTATTTTTTTCTGGCTTCATGTTGAAAGCCCAGTGGATTTGCTTAAGAAATCCTAACCGGGGCAA